GAAAGCTTCCTAGTTACTGTCCTCGTGAGGTGTTTTCTCACAGAGAAAATAAGTCCCATTAATCATCCTACACTGGTGAAATTTGTTCTCCGCATTTGACCCATCCTCCGGGGGAGAGGTGAGCTGCAGACACAACTACAATCAGGAACCTTTCGGTGATTTAAACCTACCAATCCAACCCCTTAACTCATTCACTGCCAGCCATTTCCTGATCGGTAAAGCCCTTTGCTGCCAGTGTTTCTCACCATTTTTACTGTCTTTTTAAGAGTCACAGCACGTAGCGCTAGGATGATGTCGATGCCAAAACAACCAAAACAAAGCGGAGACTCACCTCTTACATCAGGAAGAATCAGCGTGTTTCGAGCATTACCCGTTCTTTCACAATCCGTTGTTGAATTGTGATCGGCAGAAGCATTTCCGGTTTGTGCCTCACTTTTTTTACAGCAGGGCCCAAAACGTTCTCCTAACACATGGATTTCCTGCTTCCTGATCACAAATGACGACTTTCGTCGTCAATGGCAGTGAACGAGTTAACGAGGATTGTCGAGTGTGGAGGCACTGGGTCCCAATTTTTTAAGTATTTGCTATGACCCAACCATGGACTTGAACCCATGATCTCCCAGTCTCAGGTCAGACACTCCTACCAGGGACAGGACTCTTCACACCTTCACAATCAGTCATCCAACCATTCACACACACACATTCACACACTGGTGGGGATGTGCTACGATGTAGCTACAGCTTCCCTGGGAACACAGACAGAGGCGATGCTGCCGAGCACTGGGGCCACCGTTTCCTCTGACCATCACCATCAGGCAAGGTGGGTTAAGTGTCTTGCCCAAGCAAGCAACAGCAGATCAGAGCTGGGATTGATCCTGCAACATTCTGATTACTGGACAACCTGCTCTATCTCCTGACCTACTGCTGTCCCAGTATGCTAGTTATAAAGGTGGAGTCAATTACCAATTCAGATATTCTTTAGCAACAAATTAATAAAAAAAAACACAGAGTCATTCTGTCCTAACCTATGTCTGCCAAAAGTTTACATGACATATTAAGTGTTGTGTTTAAAAAGTTTTCAGGGAAAGTGTATCCACCAACCATCCCCAACCCCCTCCTATGGCCTGATGCTTGGGGTAGGATATACATCTGTCTAATTTCTTGCTTGTCAGACTACCATCTGGTACAGTATCAGCAATAACGGCAGGAAAAATGGCATCTCATGTCAGTATCTCTCTCACGCAGTGTGGTGGGGTGGGGGTGGGGGGTGGGGTGGGGAGGGGAGGGGAGGGGAGGGGGTGGGGGGGGGCTAATGTTGCTTACCAAAGTTATTGAGGTCACATGTACTGTAAATCATCGAGACAGATTACATTTTTTTTGTTTATCTATCATTTTAATGCTCTGATTAAGAATTATTAAATATTAAAGCAATCTTAAAGCCATTACTTAACCAGCAGTTGGGTGATTTGTAATTATTCCCCGAAGCTATGACAAATTGCTCTGTATGTTTCTAAAGATGTTAAAAACAAAAAGTAGTTGAATAGAAGGATGTAATGTGCTCCTCACAACCTGCACTATCTGCATAGTTACACATTTGTGTAGGCTAATACGTCTTCACAGCTGAGGAGATTTATCGTCTCCACCAGTTTATCATTTTGGCTCTCTGTCATGCAGGTTTAATGCTAGCTTCACTGTGTCTGGCTTCATCAGTTTGCTTTTCAGTCGCAGCGAGCAGCCACTTTAATTGAATAAGCTGCGATAAAATCACTACTTGTGTACGGCCCAATGACAAACATGGCGTTGTCGACTGGAGTTTATTGAGCATGATTTGCACCTGTTTGCCAACATTTCATTTAAAAAGTTTGATTGTGTTTTTGTCATGTTTATGGCTTCTGTTGTTGTAAATACAGTCAGTAGTCCAGCTTAGTGCTTCATCACAAGTTGGTGATAATTGTGCTTGCTTGATCAACTTAAAAAAGCACCTCTTAAATTAACGTTCACAGGACATTTACAATCTTCTGATTGAAAAGTAAATCATGTGGAACATAAATGTAATCATCTCTGCACTGAAAATCTTTAGCTGAGTATTCTCCTTTTAAGGGAGCCAATTCATTGAAGCATCCTTATCTCTTTTTGTTTGTTAATATCTCCTTTCCGTAGTAAATTTCGATTCTTATTTCCTCCTGAACTCTATAAAAGTTCATATTGAAAGTGTGAAAAAGTGCAGCTAAATCAATAAACTCATCTCATAAGTATCTTTATTGATTTAAGAAAAACATTCGATGCAGTGGATCAAAAAATTCTTATTAAAAAACTTAGTAAATATGGCATCACAGGGATGGCCCTAAAATGGATAATAAGTTATCTATCTGATGGTCAACAATATGTTCAAATAAACAACACAAAATCACATATAAATAACATTACTTGTGGTGTACCACAAGGGTCGTATTGGGCCCTAAACTATTTATCATTTATATAAATGACATTGTTGAGGTATCCGATATATTAAACAACTTTTTATTATTCAGGAGATAATGTTGAGCAGATGATAGAAGTGATTCAAACAGAGATGAAAAAAATTTAACTATGGTGTGATGGGAACAAACTATCATTAAACAGTGATAAATCATGTTTTATGATATTTAGTCATACATATTCAAATGATGAAATTGTATTAAATATAGATGAGATTAATATTAAAAGAGTAAAATAAGTCTAGTATCTGGGGGTCATCATTGATGAAAAAATGTCTGGAAAATTACATGTAAACAGTGTTAAAACTAAAATATCTAAAACTATTGCACTGTTACATAGAGCAAAATGGTAACTTGATAATAATTCCCTATATTTGTTGTTTAACTCACTGATCATACCATACATGAACTACTGCATTGAAATCTGGGGAACAACATATAAAACTTACACAAATTCCATTTACATCTTACAGAAAAAAAGCAATAAGAATAATCATAAAGGAGCAACTACAGAGATCTGTCCAATCCATTATTTATAAAATAAAAAACACTAAAATTCTATGATCTGGTGGACTACAATATTTTAAAATTTATGTATATTTCAAACAAAGTGTACACACCTGCAGGTTTAATCAAAAGATTTACAAAAAGACATAGCAAATGTGATTTAAAAGGACATGAATTATTTAATATATCTAGACACAGGATAATCATAAAGGAACATTGTGTGCCTATATATGGAGATAAAATGTGGAATGAATTTAAATACTGAAATCAAGAATGCAAAAACAATATTGGCTTTCAAAAAAAGAGATAAACAATGAAACGATTGTTGCAAAAATAGGGTTAAAACTCAGTCCTTGGTAGGGTATCTTACTGTTATTTTATTTGCTGGGCCTTACATGGACAAGCACCACCATGCATTGGTGATTTTTCTCAGTCCCTACATCCCCAGCAGGTCCCTGAGGTCCAGTGACCAAAGCCTACTGGTTGTGTAGCACACCAGGCTAAAGACCAAAGGTGACAGATCATTTGCTGCTGTGGCCCCCAGACTCTGGAACTCTCTCCCCCTGAGCCTGAGATCAGTGGACTCAGTGGTCTCCTTCGAAAGCAGCTGAAAACTCACCTGTTCAAGCTGGCTTTGGTGTGACCTTCATCACCACCCTCTCATTATTCTGCTCTTTTTCATCTTTTCCGGGATCCATTTATTTCCCTCTTTCCTATTAAAGATCTCTCTCCCTTTCTTTACTTTTCTAAATCACATATTTTAGTCATTTTAATCATAATTAAAAAATATTTTACATTGTTTGTTTGTTTGTTTACATATATATATATATATATATATATATATATATATATATATACAGAGAGAGAGAGAGAGAGAGAGAGAGAGAGAGAGAGAGAGAGAGAGAGAGAGAGAGAGAGAGAGATGTTTATTTTTGGGCGGGGGGGGGGGGTTCAATATGACATATTGTATTAAGCTAGTGTTTTGCTCGATGTCGTTTTTCTGCCTACATGTCTTTTTAATAATGCAGTCAGAAATGAAAAGACACAGGTATATAGTTACATGGTAACCTGTATATACCATTGGTAGCAACTAACATTTCTTTAGATTTTTTTCTTTACACGTTGTTTAAAGTATATACCTAAAAAGCGAAATTTTTCATAGCTAAGACCATTCATATAATTTAAGCTAACTGTAGACAGTAGCTGTATTAATGCACTAATCATTTTCTGGTTGGACTGGTTCTTTACCGTGGTAAAATGCTCCAAGTTATTTACAATAACAAGTGTTCAAAATATGGAGGAATTAAGGCAGCATTTTCACAGTCAAATAAATTGTAGTGATGAACAAGTAGAACCCCTTGTCTATTCGCAGTTCTAGTGTTGAAAAGAATGAGCAAGCTGTTAAAAATAAACATCGCCATTATTCATTCGGAAAAGAAATGCCTTTCTTGGAACAAGTTGAACACCAGCTGCTACATTAAAACATCTGCAAGAAGGTGTATTTCAAAAAGCAATTAAGACTTTGCTTCCTTCTTTTAAGGATCGCGTTAGTGTGGTCCACACATTGCTAGTGTTGCAAAAAGTGGGGTAAATTATTAGATTATAGAACATTTTCAGAATGTATAGTAAAAACTGTACAATCAATGCTTCTTTGTCTGCTGGCCACAGGGTGTGCATTCACCTGTGTGAATGCAGCACAATTAGCACTGACAAAGGTTTAAGTCACTCAGAGAAGAAAACGATAAATAAACACATCTAATAACTGTTATATTATATGCTGACAGATGTCATAAAGAGCTGAGATGGTTAACGGCTGGGTAGTTTTGTGATCTGTCCTTTCTGTATTTAGAAAAGAACTGTAGCACCACACCACACCAGTTGTTTATGACAACAGGTATACTTCTGTGCAAGGGCTTTCTACTCGATGCACATACTAAACAAGTAAACATACGTAGAAAAAACAGACCCCCGCCTTCCTGTAATGTGGCTTTCATCTGAGTCCTAATTCTCTTGCAGGTGACAGAGACACGGACGGGGCCACTGGGTTGCAGTAGCTATGACAATCTGGACTCAGTCAGCTCGATCCTCCTGCAGAGCCCCGAGAGCAAGCTCCATCTGCAAGGTAAACAAATCAAGTACACCCACATGATTCTGCAGGATGTTGGACGCCACAAGGTAGCAGCGTGTTAAAATTAAAGGAGATCTATGGTCGCACATGAACGGGGGTGGGGGGGTGGGGGGGTGGGGTGGGGGGGACGGCTTGTGAAGAATTGAATGTCAATGCACTTTTTAATTGGTGCCGGGTATGGGAAAGATTTGCTCCTCAATCTCCTCTGGGGGATTGCAGTACAATTTTCTGGTTATAGATGTCTGCTCGTGTTCTAATGTGATTGTGTTCTTAAGTCTTTCTTAAAGCTTTGATCAAAGAAGGAGCCTAAATGCAAAACAGTTCCTTCAGCTGTGCAAACTAATCAGAGCAGAAACTGGTGCTCTCCCTCCCTCTCTCTCTTCCTTTGCAGGTGCGGCACGTGTAATGAGAGTAAAAGCAGTGCTTGTCTGGCTCACTTTTGAGACACTTTTATAGTTTATAGCAGTGTGTCCAATATGTGCACCACTGTGTCTCGTCACACACCACACACTTTTTAATCTTCAGCACAAACAGTCCTGCCTTCAGCGTTAACAAAAGTAGCCTAGTAATTAGTCTAATAGAAGGAATTACATGGCATGATAGAAACCTAGAGGGAAAGTGTGATAAAGGGCTTTGTAACTGTGGTCAAGTGTTTTACTAAAGGTGATTGCTTCTTTGATTTATTTGTTGCACCAGAGTTATTAAAACCATCCTGAGAATCTCAGCGACTGCCTTTCAATCCACACACACACACACACACGTATGTGCGCGCACGCACACACACACACACACACACACACACACACACACTCACCTCTTTGGTTCTTCTCTGAAGGGATCATTACTCGCCCTTGAAAATCATAGGCCTAAGTGGTTTGTCAAAGAGACACTTTTAGGTCCTGCATCGCCACTTACTCAAAAGCCCTCCATAGGTTTTTTGGGGGGGAAATAAGCTTCATTGTCATGCATAAAATGTATTAGCCTTGCGCTTTGAAGAATGTTTGTTACTCTACTTATAGATGACAGGCTGGAAAAAAGGTTCTTTCTTTTGCTTTTAACCAATATGGTTAAAGAGGATCTTTTCAGGTTGTCTTTTTCAGGCTTTTGAGTTAGGGTGAGGTGCATGGATGACTGCTAAGAGTTTGCCTGAAAATGTATTCTTTTGAGAGCAATTATCACTCCTGTCATCAATTAGACAGACAGCTGATGATGGAAGTTGCTGAACAATCACAGTGCTCTTCAAATTAATGACACTTCATGAAGAGGTACGGTCCATGAAGAGGTGTGCAGACACTAGAGAGCTTTTAAGGTCTATGCTGCTCAAATATATTTATAATGACTTCCAATCATTTAATTCGCCCTACAGTTCTCATTCTGTCATTAACATGGCTGTAAGTGTAGCATTTAGACCTCCTGTTATCTCTTTGTGAACCATAATCCCTTTAGATCAGCTTATTACAGAAATATGTTTAATTTTGGCCTTTGCATTCCAGATGTATTTATTACACACAGCAGTCAAAGGTTTAGGATGTGTTTAAGTTTTATGTTGTTCCAAATCCTGTTGGTTATTAGGCTGTACTGCCACGATGTGATAGTAAGTAAATTGGAGAATGGAGTTTACTGAATAGATGATCTGAGCTGTCTGACTAAAACTGGAAGCTGTGTTTGTGATTGTTGGGTCAAGGTCAACATTGCTCTTCACGGAATTCATTCACAGGAAGTAACTCCATTAAATCCTTTTTCTGATTAGAACTATATCCTTGCAAGGAGCATGACACATTATTCACCTTGGCACTTTGAACAAATGTTTCAAGATGTGTTTTCTTTAAAGGAAGAACATTTTCCTCATTAACATAGTTAGCCAATAAGCTATATGTTAAATGTTGAGGTTAGCACCATTAACATGCTAAATGTGTCCTAGGATTTAAAGCCACATTTACTGCTGTCCTTCAATAGACGTTAGTGAGAAATTTTAAAAAAGGAAAACATTTTTGAATGGGATGAACAGAATCTCATAGAAAAACAAACAAAAAAATGTATGACCAATCGGGCATTTAAGTGAGCACATCCCAACCCACTTCAGCGTCGACAATCTATAAACATTGGTGGTGGTAATGCTAGCTGCAGATCACACTAGCCCAAGCTAGTGCTAATGCTAGCATGAGCTTCTTCTAATGTCTTTTTGTTTTGAGAGGAAAACAATAAAGAAGAATTTTGTTGTGCTCAATTTCCAGGATATTCAGGGAATGTCTAGACTTTGAATGAATAGTTAAATCCACAGCTTCATGTCCAGTTCTTGGTTCACTGGTGTGTGAAAATGCACGTGTGTTTGGTTGCAGATTCCTTGAAGGTGCTATATCAATTACAGGACATTTGTCCTCATCTTTGTTTGTCCACAAATTCACAAACCACTTTGCAGATTACTCACTTTTTTCCTCGTTAGTACACACATTAAAAATTAATTATAAAAGTCCAGTGAGTTTGGATTTGAGTGGCTGTCTCGGGGCCACTGACCTGATTGCTGCTTGATTGAAGCTAGCTTGTAGCCAAACCTTGTCTTGTTGTCCAGATAGATAATGGGATGTGTGTTGTTCTAGGACAAACATTGTATTTTGTTGTTTAATTAGGAGTACTCATTGGATGGTCCTTGTGGAGAACTCTTTCAGCTGTGGAGGGCAACGTAAAAATAAACAGCAGGAACACACTCAGCAGCAGCAGCAGCAGCAACAGCATCTATCATGGGCTGCATGTTGGCGCAGTGGTTAGCACTGTTGCCTCGCAGCACGAAGGTCGCAGGTTCAAAACTCGCCTTTCTGCGTGGAGTTGCGTGTTCTCCCCATGCATGCAGCGTGGGTTTTCTCCGGGTACTCCGGTTTCCCCCACAGATCACAACATGCCCTATAAGTTAAAAAAAAAATTGTAAGTCGCTTTGGGTAAAAGCGTCTGCTAAGCACATAAACATAAACATCATCAGTCCTGAGCAGCACATGACTCATTTACCCAAATGATACAGAGGTGGATCTGCTCACATTAGCTATTTGCAAAAAAATGTGGAATCTACTTCGGGATGCCATCAGTGTATTTTAAAAGGTAACAAAGACATCATGCTACAGCAGATTTTAAAGCACACTATTTAATTAGTCACATCCTCAACAATCCTGTCGTACACCGCACGATAAATATCTAAAAGCAATGGGTCCCATTATACAGAGAGTCCTCTGCTGCACCTTTACTCATAATTAATTAAGTATTTCCAAAAAAAGGGCTCAAGATAAATGAATGACAGCTGTTCCATTAAAAGGAAACATACACAGACACATGCATGGCAGCATAAAGCAACGCTTCAGCAGCACGTGTGCTCAGATGTTTCGCCTTGATCGAAGTGTACTCAGGAAAATGGTTGAAATGTGTAGAAATGTGGATTCATAGTGGTCCCAGCTTGACTGATTTCTGTTCATGCAAAACACAGTTAGATTCAGATTTACTGTCCCCTTCTGACTGCTCTTTAAAGCCGTTGCCCAAAACTAACAGCTTTGACGGTGTCGTCCTTTTGACTGTACTGCATAAACGGTCTTTATAGACTGTCCCTGGAGAGAGATGGCATTGGCTGGGGCCTGAGCTACTCTATTAAGCCCTAGCAGCTCTCAGCACTTTTAATGAACACCCACCGTGTGTCTCATTTACAAATGCCTATTGACCTTTTACCAGACAATTAGCTAAAATGCTAACTTTTGGCATTTAAACTGTGGGGAGGAGTCACATCTGTCCAGTGTGGAAGATCACAGATCACCACCGGCTTTATGCAACAGCTAAATAAGCATTTATTTGGATGCTGAAATATAATTATATTCATTTAAAAAACGGTTTAAAAATTTCCAATATTGCTTTAATTAAAAAGCAAGCAGAGCTCATATTAATTCAGTAATGACAAAAGTGTAACAATTACTTTTAGGATAAAAGAAAAGTTTAATAGTGCGTGCTTTTGCACAAGTGCTATAAAAGCACAATAATACATGTGTTGGACATCATTTGTTTAATTTGCCTAAGAAGTTTCATTCAGGTTGTTCTCTGAGATCATATTTTCACACCTATCCTAAGAAAATCTATTAACACAGATGGGATCAATAAAAAAGATGCTGAATGACTTGAACAATAACATTTGCTTCCAGTAATTAATTTTTCTGGGACAAGTGTTTAAAATTGAATGAGTATAAGCAAATGTGTTTTATTAGATTCTCAAAGTCAGATTTGCCAATTACATGTGTGAAAGTGTATGGCACAGACATTAAATAATTCCAAGTGTCTAAAACGTATAGACTTGGTCATTTTACACCTGGAGACATGGATACAGGTGAAAGTTAAGTTAATTCAGGTGACCACCAGTAAGAGTAGCACAAAACTGCAAAGACAATCATAGGGAAACTCACATACCTTGTATAGTGGAAGCACAGATCTACAAATCAAATGTGCATGAATTTACTCTACAATCGTGTTTAGCCATTTGGTAGCTCTGCACAAACTGAAGCTGAACACAGCAAGGACAAACAATAAAGCAAGAGAAAAAAAATCCTCATAGTGCACTGCAGGTGTTTGTGGATAGAAAACAAAGTCATTTTTAAACTAAATAAACTGATGGAAGCTTGGTGATTCATTTCTAACTCTGCCTCACATTAATCCTTTTAGTGTCACTTCATTTAAAACAGAAAATAAGAATACCCCTGACTTTATTTGCGATCAGCAGGGTTCATACGGCTGTCTTGCTCTTGAAAGATATGGAAATTCTAAACTTCGAATTGCTATTGCAAAAGACGTAAATGTTCTTTTCAAGGATTACATCTAATATATGCAACAAGTGAGTTGAGATCTTTGAAAGGATTATTTTGAAAAGTTATGAATAAATAACACCTTTCTTTTGTAGATAGCTTTTTACGACTTTAGCTGTGATAAATAAAGGTTAATTCTGATCAAACAGATAAGCTAACAGCTAGCCATAT